ACATCCGGTGACCTAGCAGCAGCAGTGACCGTTCCCTTCTCAGCCGCTGCAGCACCTCCTCCTTCCGGCGAGACGCGATCCTCCGTCGAGCTCTTTCGACACCGTTCGCCGTCGAGCCGTTCGAACCCTTTCTCGCTCGGTATCGATTCTCGACTCCGTGTTTAATATTACGTGAATAATATAATGTTCGGTTGTGCCTAGTGTGTTCGTTTAATCAATATATGTGTTGTGATGCCATGTGATTTTATGTGATATTATCGTTCGTCATGTTATTATTGTCGTGATTTTATGTCGAACTCGTCAATTCGTGCGAATCGAGAGAGAACTGAATATAAGTAATGAATTTCTGTGGATTTAGGAACCTAGGATTAATTCGAACACAATGGCGCTGACCTTGTGTCGATTGGAAGTGTATAATTGCCATTATTATTTTTCGAAGTTCTTAATTGCTGTTTCGAATGAAAAATTCACTATAAATCGAATATTAGTCAGATTGCCTTGAAATTTTAGGAGCAGCTGTTTTTGATGAATATGTAGCTGGTGTACAATTTTCGTAATTTCTAAAGGTGTTTAGCTATTTGTAAAAATTAATTTGTTTTCTGTTCAGTTTCTTGTAAAATGCATAATTAATGGTGTAATGCTCTTTTCTGGCCAATTTTTGAATATGTGATGGCTCAGGCATGATTATATTTGGTGTAGAATTGTTAGAATTGTTTAACTAGGTTTGATAGGGTTAACAAATTATTTTGTGATTCTGCCCGAATTTATTTTAATTATGATAAATTATTCTGAAACTGGAAAATGCTGAAAATTTGTGGAGGTGCTGATTATGTGATTTTTAGCATGCTGTAAAAAGTTCAGAATTTTTGGAGTTCATTTGTGATCAGTTTTGATAACATTACGATATTTGGTTGAATCTTGTTTTAATTTTATAAATTGATATACTGAGTGTTGAAGGCTGATAAATTTATGTTTTACTTTTTACATGCTGTAGTATTTTAGATAAAAATTTGATAGCCTGAATCATCCATTATCATGTGCTTTTTATTTAAACTCTCTTTTGTTGAAAAACTTGTATGAATTTTAAAAACTTATGCATAAGGAGTTTGAAGCTGAAATTGAGTGATCTTACTTAGAATTGGGATGTGAAATTTATGTAAAAGTTTCATAACCTAACTCATTTATTTGATATGCCTTCTAATTCAAGTGTGAATTTGAGAAATTGTTTTTCCTATGTTGAAATGTGCTACGTGTTGATGACCAATTGCGCCATGTGTTTACTTGTGGCTCGTTGTTTGTTTTTTCACTTGTGATTATGTGAACTTGTATATGTAGTTTGATCGAGTCTAAGTCCTAGTGTTCCCATATCCATAGAACTTCACGAACCACTTGGTCGAACCGAGTTCGGCTAAGTCAATCTGTGATATTTTCTATATAGGTCTAGACTAAAGTGTTGACTTTAGTATCTGGACTTAATGTAGGTGTTTAGAGGTGTTGAACCTCGCCTCGTCTCGAGATTTGTGATTTGAACTGTAGCTGCAATCAGGTGGGTACATTTATGATGTATTCCATATTTATCGCACTTAATATTTCGTATAAATGCTTTGTTTTGAAAAATGATGTATGCGTGAGAACCCTAGTCTAAGTGTCCCGTATGTTAGTGCCTTTGAGGAATGCATAAACAGTGAGAGGTCATCGGCCCGTAGATTCGGAGAGGTGATGCCCAGGTCCGTATGATATTCGTGAATGAGAAAAACATCTCTACTGTCTCCTGGAAAGGATCCCAGGCCCGTAGCCATTCGGTGATGGGAAGGTTTCCAGTTACTTCCTTGCCGTGTGTGATCGGAAGGTTGTTGTATGTACATAGGAGGTTTGCGATAGGGCCAAGTAGGGAGTTAGACTGTTGGATTCTATACGTACTGAATACTATGGTTATGATGGTTTACAATGTTATGTGAGATAAACTTGCGATAATGGTGAGCTTGTTGGTTGTTCACCCCCATTATTTTCTTGTTGTCTTCTCTCTTCCTTTGATCTAGGTTGAGACGAGCTGGAGGCGGTGGCGTAGGACGAGCGAGATGGTGGTCATTATGTGTTGAAAACCTATGCTTCCGCATAAACTTGATATTTATCTATTTGCTATCGCACTTTGGATTATTTGTTTCGTCGCTTTCGAACTATGTTGAATTTCGTTTGAACCTTGCTTTCATGCTAGTCGTTTGGGAATGGTTTTGAAATTTATGATTATTAAGATTGTTATTCTGATAGCTCGAGCATGTGTAGGTTCTATCGATCGATTGATTTGGTGTTATTATTTGTTTGTTGTGGATAGTAAGTAGCGCTCGTTTCTCGATAAATGTTTTAACTCGGATTTAAAAAAAAAAAATACTCTGCTTTTTATTAAATAATTTCGGTAAATTCCTTAAAATAAAAACGGGGCGTTACAGCTAGGGCCTGGTTTATTAAGCATCTACCTCTTAAGGAGATAGAAATTTATGTAGATGTGATACCAACTGATGAATCAATTGTTGGTAAAGACTGTAATGAGCACTCTCTTCAAAAGAAATCTGGTGAAGACTCTCCTGATTCTGATTACAATGTGGAAACCGAGCAAAGTAGTGATGATGATCAGTTGTTTGAGAACAATGTTGATCTTAGTGTGGACACAACAGATAAACTGTCAGAAGCATTTGCTGAAAAGGATGGTGGAGAAGCATCTGTTGAAAATGACTGTAATGAAGCCTCTGTTCAAAAGAGCCCTAGTGAAGGCTCTCTTGATTCTGATTACAATGTGGAAAGTGAGCAAAGTGATGATGATGAGCAGTTTGAGAATAATGTTGATGACAGTGTGGACACAACAAATCAGTTGTCAGAAGCATCCCGTTTAATGGGATTGGACAATGATGATGAATTGTTTAAGCTTATTGATGATCATTCTGGGGTGTCATCACCTGAAAATGTGGTTGCACAAGAGTGTGACAATGACCATATTGAAATTAACTCTAATGTAACCCCTGTTGAAAACAACTTTGATGAAGACTCCATGGATTCTGAGTACAATATGGAAGATGACCACAATGATGATGATGATGATCTATATCAGAATTTTGTTGATCATAGTGTGCAAAGTTCAAATCAGGGTTCAATTCAGGGTTCAGGAGAAGAAAGTGGTCACAGTGAAGAAGATGTGGTCCATAATGGGGATGACATACAGGATCATATTGCCAATTATGAGGAGGGAGAACACATGCCTGTATTCAATCCTGCCACTATCTTCAAGCCTGTGTTTGAGCTTGGAATGCTATTTAGTAGCAAAAAGGAATTTAAGAAAGCTGTCCAAAGTTATGCCATTGAGAGTCACAGAGGTGTGAAGATATATAGAAGTGATTCTACAAGGTTGTATGTTACCTGTGTTGCAACAGACTGCCCATGGAAAGTGCATCTAATAAAGAAGAAGAATGAAGAAACTTGGTTCATCAAGGAATTCATTTATGAACATTCTTGTCCATCTACCTTTCAGGTCAGAAATGTTATCTCCCTCTTAACATTCAGTTAAATGATTATAAAACAAATATTGGTAGTTAATTTTTTTTCTAACACTTAAATATGGTACTTAATATTTTTTTAACACTTAAATATGGTAGTTAATTTTTTATTCACACTTATATATGGTAGTTATTTTTGTTCATCTACCTTGCAAGTGAAAAATGTGAAGTCCTCTTGGTTGTGTGACAGATACTTAAAGGGCTTTAAGGCAGACCCTAAGAGAAGTGTAAAAGGTTTCAGGACAAGCACCATTGAAGAGCTAAGGTGTCATATTTCTAAGGATCAAGCATATAGAACTAAAAGAAGAGCACTCAAGATTCTGGAAGGCTCTGCAGAAGGGCAATATTCTAAGCTGTGGGATTATTCTGAGGAACTTAGAAGATCAAACCCTGGGTCTACCATCATTTTAGGTACTGATTCTGATGAAAATGGAAATTCTAGCTGCAATGAAGAAAGGGTATAGAGATGGGTGCAGACCAATAATACGGATTGATGGATGTCATTTGAAGGGCCCACACAAGGGTATATTGTTGGTTGCAGTGGGTGTTGATCCCAATAATAAGTGGTTCCCATTTTCTTATGCTGTGGTCAATAATGAGTGCACAGAGATATGGTCATGGTTCTTAACTATTATGAAGAATGATTTAGCCATGACTGACACCAGTGGTTTCACCCTAATGTCTGACAAACAGAAGGGGATCATTCAAGCTGCAGCTCAAATATTCCTTCAGTTTGATCACAGATTTTGTGTCAGGCATCTTTACAATAACTTCAAAACAGCCGGTTTTAGGGGTTTGGCATTCACAAATGCCTTATGGGCTGCTGCAATGTCCACAACCAAGTCAGGATTCACAAATAGAATGGCAGAGCTTAAGGAGATGAACCCAGAAGCATGGAAATGGCTCTCTGATAAACCACCAGAGCAGTGGTCTAAATCACATTTCAAGGATGTTCCCAAATGTGATATGTTATTGAATAACTGTTGTGAGACCTTTAACTCTTGTATTTTGGAGGCCAGAGAGGAACCTATTATCACAATGCTAGAGTAGATTAGAGAGTACCTAATGAAGGGAATGCAAGAGAATAGAGATAAGGCTGCAAGAAAGTGGAAGAATAAATTGTGTCCAAGAATAATGGAGCTTCTTGAGCTACACAATAAGGGAGTGGCTGATTGCATACCAGTGAAGGCTGATGACATACACTTTGAGATAAAGTGTAACAATGGTGCACAATACTCTGTCAACTTAAAGGATGGAGTTTGTTCATGTAGGTCTTGGGGATTGTCTGGAATTCCATGCAGCCATGCTTTGAGTGCCATCCATTTTCAGAGAGGTAATGTTGAGGACTATGTAGATGAATGCTACACACTGTCCAAGTATATGGCTGCTTATGGGAACACTTTGTATCCCATTAATGGCACTGAACTTTGGGAGGATAACCATTTCATACCACCACTGCCACCAAATTTTGGAAGGGGTGCAGGGAGACCTTCTAAGGCAAGGAGAAGGGAGAGTGATGAGATAGTTGGGAAAAATAAGAAGAAAAAAGGAACTTCAGCTCCTACAAAAGTGAAAAGGCAACAGACAAAGGTGAACTGCAGCAGATGTGGTGGAGAAGGCCATAATGCAGCCACATGTTCATCTAACACTAACCAACCTCCACCAGTACAGAAGATGCAGATAATTAATTTAAATGTACATACTGCTACTGTGTGTTTTAATTTTAGTTAAATGTGGGTGCAATTAACTGCTATTGTGTGTTTTAAATATATATACTGCTATTTTGTGTTTTATAATCATTTAACTGTGGGTGCAATTACTAAGTTATTTTGATGTGTGTTTTAATTTCAGGTAAGAAGAAATAGTGGTCCATCCCTTAGAAACCTAGCAAGTACTGTGAACCCAACTTTGTTTCCACCACTGTCAAATCATGAAGATGAAAGTATGGTGATGGAAGAAATTCCTACACAACAGTCCCAGACACCTTTGATGGCCACAATGCAGAGATCAACTCCTGGACCATCCATGTATGAGCAGTTAGTCAGGGGAAACCCAGTGCAGCCTACAAGAGCCACACATGGAGTTCAAATCAGAGGGCCTCCTACATTTACTGGAGAGAGTCCTGTTTTTTCTGTGGGAAGCAGCATTACATTAGCTCATGAAAAGGTTGTAGTTGATAAGGGGAAAAAGTACTTGGTACTTAACAAAAAATGTCATGGCAATGACAAGTGAATTTGTGTCTGTTGAACTAGGTTGATAATGGGCTGTTAGGAATTTTTTACTGGCTTGTTATGGATAATATTAGAACTCTGAACTGCTTAAGGGATCTTTTGAACTTTGGATTTGCTTAAATCTTTTGTACTGGTTGATAATGGGCTGATTTGGTTGGTAGTTTTTGTAGATTTTGTAATGGATTTGTTATGGTTTTTGATATGGGTTCTAAGGAATTATTATGATCTTGTAAGAAATTTGTGTACAATTTATGTTCATACATTTTGTGTTGGATTTGGTAATGAATTTGTTATGGTCTTGTAAGGAATTCTAATTTGTTGGATTTGGTATGCACTTTGTAGATTGTTATGGATTATAAGGGGTTTTGTGTTGGATTTGTTGGATTTTGTGTTGGATTTGGTAATGAATTTGTTATGATCTTTATATTCATACAGTTTGTGTACACATTTTTGTGCTACATGTATTTCAGGCAAAGCTGCAGCTTAAACTATAAAAAATGGTCAACAGACTGCCCACAAATATGCCACAAACTAACATTTGTTATGCCATTACAAGATCAAGTTACATCCAAATACAACAATGTCAACAACATTACAAATATGCATCAACCTAATATCAATTATTCACCATCTTTTCATCATCTGTCTGAGAGCCACAAAAGAAAAACACCAAACTCCAAATTATCAATAATGCTACTAACATCTTTAGAAGTCTTGTTTTTTTGGCACTCTCATACTTCAATTTCAGAATTTCTGCCTTCAGTTTCTTGTTTTCTTCTTCAAACTCAAAATTGAGTTTCTTCAACTTCTTGTTTTTTTCTTCAAACTGAAAATTGAGTTTCTTCAATTTATTGTTTTCTTCTTCAAACTTCAGAACCTCGAATTTTTCAATGTCAGCACTCTTACTTGATTTTTCCATTTCATTCAATCTCCTGAGCAACCCAGGAATTATTTGTTGAGCACGGGCACAAAGAGGAGGATCGACCCATCCAAAATACTTGCATCCTCCTCCCTGAATTCCACCAAAAATAAAATACATAAATAAAAACAAAAATCAAATTCAATTACAAAGCACTTATTCATCTAAAACTCTCAAATATTGTATGACTTACAGGCCAATGGAGGCACGAGAAATATCTTCTTCCACAATTTGGAGTTTTCCACGAAGTGCGAATTTCAGCTCGCAACCCACAACGGCAATTTGGATTATCCGTGTTGTAAGACATCTCGTTAGAGCTTCACTCTTAAGTCGAATTTCTTGAAGGTTGTACCGAACAAGAAGGCTTTCGAAATCTAGGGTTTCTGCGTGAAGATTGGGGCTTTTCTTTTTTGTTCGAATTTTTGTCGATTTTTGTGTGAAAAATGAAGGAGAACACGCGTGGATGTTGTATTTATAGACGGTATAGCTGAGGTGGATTAATTTGTCCACGTGCAGTCCACGCTGGCATGTTTTGTGACCTCAGGCGGAGTTCCGATGAGTTTGGCCGAATTTGGGTAGAAAGACCGATTTTTTAAAACGTTTTGGCTATTATTGCCAAAGTCGAAAGATACTGGGTATAAATGCCAACCCGTCTAAGTTACTGGCTAGTTTTTGCAATTTGGCCTCCTCTCCTATCTCACACACATACACGCACCAAACAACCTCTCCTCTCTCACACACATACACGCACATATGTCTCGCTCCGCCGACAATCCTCCACTGCCACCAGTCGACGCCCGCTGTCGACCGCCACCGCCGTCTGCCGTCAGCCACCGCCCGCCGGCATCCCGCTGCTTATCAGACCCGGTGGCACACTCTCAGCCAAATATCATGTTTTCGCCGCCGACAGCGTCTCCGACGGGTTCGAGACGGACTTCACCTCTCGCCGGACTTCCTCTTCTCCAGCGGCGGCGACGTCCTCCAGGGCACCATGAAAACGGCGGACTTTGTCAGTCAAGGCAGATGACAACGGCGGCGGTGGCGGCAGCAATGCCAAGGAGAAAGGCGCCATGATTCAGGCGGGTTGGATTCTCTGATTTTTTTTTTTATTTGGCAGACATGGATTGATGTTTGAAATTTGATATTTCTTGAGGTCTTAGTGGCAAATTCATAAAGTATAATATATTACAATTAGGTCTATGGGTCAAATGTACAATTAATTATAAAGTATAATATATTACAATTAGGTCTATAGGTCAAATCTACAAAGAGTGCAAGTTGTATCCAACTCAAGTCCTCTTTTCTTCAAGTTTACTCCCACAGGAAGTGTTCCAGAGATGCATATCCACAGGAAATGCTTGATTTTTTTCAAGATTTTCAAGTTCCAACACCTGTAAATGATTGTATTCCTGTTGATAGCAGAAGTGCTACATTCAGGAATGTCAAGCTTCAGGAGCTTTTGTTTGGAAAGATGAGCATAGGTACTGGAAATTGAGAAGACACCTTTATGATAAAGGCTCCAGTAGAGTCTGTCCTCCTTATCCTGCTTCAAAGTGTTTATTATCAGGATAGCATTGCTGTCTTGTTCCAAGAACACCTGTTTAATAAGCCACTCATTCCATTCTCTACCATTAGCAAGCTTTGAGTCTTGAACCCAAATTAAGTGTTCTCTGGCCAGAGGCATTAAGTTAGGAGCAGGAGCAGAAAGATTGGGAACCCAGTTAAAATCAGATATTCTGGTGTTGACTCAATTTTTGATTTCTATTCTAAGGCATTGAGAAAAAAGTGGCATCATCTCCATCCAAGTTTTCCACATCCAGGAACCACTTTGAGATTTAACTGCATGAATGAGAGAATGGTTTGGAAAATACCTATCCTTTAAGATTCTGTTGACAAGGAGCTGAGGATTTGAGGCTATCCTCCAAAGTTGTTTACATATGAGGGCCTGGTTGAACAACTGAAGATCAAGGAAACAAAGTCCACCTTGTTGTTTGGGCAGTGCAAGCATATCCCACCTTTTCCAGTGAATGCCTTTAGTGTTCTGATCTCCTGATTTCCACCAAAAATTTGCACATAATCTTGAAATTTCAGTGCACACAAATATAGGAGTTTTGAAGCAGGACATGGTGAAAATTGGAAGAGCTTGAACAACTGCTTTGATGAGGACTTCTTTACCAGCTGGACTCAACAACTTTGCTTTCCAGCTGTTCAATTTGGTTTGGACTGTGGTGAAAAGATAATCAAACACCTCTTTTTTTGATTTCCCAATGCCCAAAGGCAAACCTAGATAGGAATAATAATAATATTTTCACATAGTTCTATATTTTTTCCCCCGTTATTTGAAAAATAATATTTTTTTATATAGTTCGACGGTTATTTAAAACAACATATTTTATAAGGTGCAACGTGTTGTTTTATAAAGTGCAAGATTTTTCTAAACACTAATGCGCATTCGAAATGCAATTATTTTTTTTTTCTTTCTAAAACAATATATTTCGTATTAGTAAATTTTTTAGTTAATAGTTTATATTGTTGTTATGAAAATAAATATAATATATATAGATAAAATAAAAAAATAATATTTTTTTTATATAGTTCGACGGTTATTTTAAAGCAACATGTTGTTTTATATTATTTAATCAGTTAATCGAAATAATCTAAATAAAAAAACAATTTATAATTTATATTATAAAAATATATTTGTTTAATATTTCATATCATTTTTAGTTGTAAAGACCTAAAATATATAGATATAATTTGTTTATATAGTTCAATTGCTATAGTGAAATATGACAATCATTAACGTGCAATCATTCCAGCAATAATGTGCACTCGAAATGTAACTATTCTATGACAGTATAATTGGTATTCATTATTTTTATTTAATACTTTATAGTATTCCTCGTTAAAATATATAATATATATAAAGAAAATTAAAACATAAAGTCGATATCGAACCAATATAATTGAAATATAAAAGTAAAAGACAAATAATCGGACCGACATATAAAAAAAGCTCGAATTGAATTTTTTAGTGCAATCTCACGAGAACAAAAGTACAACATGTCAATCATTAAAGTGCAATTTGTCAAACACTAATATGCACGGCTTTCTCCACTGTTGTGCAATGTGAAAGGACTGAACTTTTCTCCAACCCAATTGAAACATAAGACTAATGTGCATTTCAATTTTAAGAATTTGTAATAATTTTTATTTCAATTAAGATAATGTGTACTTATCAAATTATTTATATAATAAAAATATATTTATTATTTATATTTTGTATTTAATATTTTATTCCTTTTCAAAATAATTAATATATATACAACTATAATATAAAAAAAACATTAAATATTATATTTTATATTAACATATAGGAGCCCATTAAGTCTTGAAATCCTCAACCCACCAACCCAACACATCTATTGATGGGTCTACTTCCAAATCTGTAGTAAACCGGTGGATGTGAGCTCAGATCTGCTTGAATCGCTTCTAAATCGTTACTAGACCGCGAGATTCCTGCAAAAACTCAACGCCGGAGGTGTTTCCGGCGTAGAGCCTCCGACGCTCAAGTCAGTATGAAAGTGATGAAGAGATGCTGCGCCGCAGCTATGGCGGAGAATGGGAATGAATGTAAGTTAGGGTTTTGGGGTTACCTTGCCTCCTTTATATAGGAGTGAACACTTACCTGAAGTACCTAAAATGCCAAGTCGGTGGACCTAGAAGGTCCAAAATACCCCGGTCGATTCGTCTCCCCTTCTTGCTGAGTCATCTCAAGATTCCTTCTTATCCTTAGAAGCGTATAGAACTTTATGTATGCTGCAAGTGTGATGAATCGTCACCACGTTCTCGGCCTCGAGGCGTAAGAAGTCGACCTCAAGCACTGGGAGGTCGACTCATGATCATATGAGTATCCGGAGGCTACGCTTTGTCGTTCTTTTGAGTGGAAATCGCCTTCAGAGAATCGTCTTAGCGAGGTCGACTTCTGAGAGTCGACTTAGAGTATCTGGATGCTTGGATGTTATGCTTTTGCTGTTCTTCCGCTATATCGACTAGTAAAAGTCGATAGGCTAAGGTCGACTTGCGAGAGTCGACTAGACCAATTTATGCCTCTTCTCGATTGCTCTCCGTAGAATCAACTTTAGGGAAGTCGATTTGAGCATGTCGATGGAGTCATGTCGACATTCGAGTTGTTCGAATGGTTCACCGGTCGAGTAAGGAGCCCCTGGACAGGGTTATCCTTATGTGGCTATATCATCTAGTCTCCCCCAAAAATTACTCTAGGCAGTCGACTGCTTAAGAGTAAATTTGGTGAAGTATAACTATGTCGTTTTCCTACCATTCTTGCTCGTACTGGCCTCTTCTACAGCTTGTCTCGTCAATCGATTATGGAGTACCTCAACCTCATGATTGCTTTTTTCGGATAAGTCTGACACTCTGACAAATCCATTTCAAATTTCAAATTTCGAAAACCCTAAAATGCCGCGTGTCATCTCCATCGCCGACTCTTTGAATTCTGTGCTTCATCAAGACCGTTAGTTCTCTCACTGATCCAATGATCAGCGTCAATTATCTCCACCTATAAATACGCCTTCTTCTCTCAAAAGGTCACCTTTCGCATTTTCGAACTTCCTGCTCTCTCAAACTTCCTCAAGCTCTCCGGCGATCTTTGCTCTTCGGCTTCATCGGCGCTCTTCTTTTCCGGCAACTTCAGGCTCATTCATAGTTCCCGCCAACCACGCCATCATGTGTAAGTTCACTTTCTTCTCTTAATTCTCAATTTTCTGTTGATTTCTCCTTTCTCTGATTTTTTGGATTCCTAGAACTTTCGAAGATCATGTGTGTTCCTCATATTTTTCGAAGATTTTCTATGAGTTTTGTGCTGGATCTTCTTATCCAGAGTTTTCCTTGGACTTCTTGTTTCCCGACTTCACCTTATGTTGGCCTTTTGCTGCAAACCGATTTGCATAGCTTAGGTCGATTTAGGTATAACTCTTCTTCAGTAGTTAGCATATCGTATCATCTTTTTCGACTGAGGTGAGTTCGGAGTTCTCGCGACTGTACTCATGGAATCGTTTCCCCAGGGCATCCCTTCTACACTCCTTTGTTGAGTCGACCTTTTATGACTTTCGCCAGTCGACCTTCCTTGTATTGGCTTACGCTGAACCTTTTGTTCCTTGCTGATTTCTAATCTTACTGATTCCGACTCTTCTTTTTCGTTTCTTTTTCTAGATTCCGATTCCGACTCTTCGCCCGACACTGTCGAACGTTTGATCGACGCAGGTGCTCAATTATCTGATTCAGTGCAAGTAGTCGGCTTCAAACCAGCCGATCAATCACAAAATTCTCCTTCGGATGTTTCCTCTTTCGGCATCGACCAAGATTCTTATAGACAGGCGTGGATGTCGGGCGTCTTGGCTGAAGATCCCGAAGCCTCTCGCACTGAGGAGTCTCCTCGTCTCGACCTCATTCCCCGAGGTATCCCCCTTAGGATTTTAGATTTGCCTGTATATAGAACTAGTCCTCCTTCTTTACCAATAATTGCGCCTCTCCTCGAGGTTCAAAATGTTGTATCTATAGCGTGTCCCTTAGCAAAGATAACTGTTTTAAATCCTTTTTGTTATGCCTCTGCAGCCGAGGTCGATGGCTTCAGAGTATACAGTGGTCTTCCTGCCGACTGGGAGCTTGTAGTTCCCAAACCTAGTGATGACTTTGCTAATCCTCCCCCTGGCTTTTACACCTTCTTTATCGACCAGGTGCTGTTCGGTCTTCGCTTTCCGATTCAACCCGAACTCCGTGCTATCAGCGATTTGTACAATGTCCCAATAAATCAGTTCTCTCCTAACGCCATTCGTATCATGATCGCCTTCATCGTCGTCTCGAGAATAAAGCTTCGATACTTTTCTCCTGAGTTTCTCTTTTATTGCTATAGTTATAGGTTCATAAAAGACGCCCATTGCCTAGGTCGTCGACCCGGTGTCACTTTTCTCGATGATCTTCCCTCGAACGTGACCCGGTGGAAGTCAAAATTTGTTTTTATTCGTCCTGCCTCCGGTA